GGCCGAGTTGGCTGTAGCCGAACTTTTTGTGGCCGAGTTGACTTGTGGCCGAGTTGACTTGTGGCCGAGTTGACTGTGGCCGAGTTGACTTGTGGCCGAGTTGACCTGCACCCCTGGAATTTACCATCAACTAAACTGCCTTAAAAAAAAAAAAAAATTGTTCGTGTGGGAATCGAACACACAACCTCCAGGTTTGCTATTCATTATCCACCATTTAAAAAAATTAAGGCAGTTTAGTTGATGGTGGATAATGAATGTACAGTATTGTACTCGTTGATGACGTCGCGAAATAACAACAAACAACAACGTGTCATGTCCGAGCCTAGGAAGCTCCCTGGCTCCTGTGTAATTCATGTTGAGCCAACTGCAGACGAAAAAGTTACAATCTTTTCAGAGTAAGCAGGAAGAAAGTTTTAGACAGCTCATGAATGGAAGGACTTTAATACTGAGAAATGGAAGTTAGCGAAGTCCTTGGCTTGCTTAACCGTTTTTCTTCGATCGTCGCTTCCACCCGTCTAGGCGCGTCTAGCCTTAAGAGGGCCTACATAGCAGGTCGAGATCCATGAAAGGTCGTATATAAAGATGTGGGTTACCCACATCTTTATATTTGCACAAGTAATTAAAATTGTTTATTGAGCAGATTAATCACACTGATAAACAATTGTACTACATTCGGCTGATGTATATGAACTTCTATTTAGAGCCATAATTTCATTTTTTTCTTTCCAAAAATCTTAATAAACGTTAACTAGCACCTTATATCGACTTTTGAATGGTGAAAATCGGCTCAGTATAACCCACTTTACCGAGTACAAATTTTAAGCTAATATAACATGCTGTTACCTCTTCTAGTTTTCCCCCACCGTTGTATTTTGGTACACCATGGCTGTAAATTGTGATTGTTACAGCATGGAGGTATTATTATAATACCTCCATGGTTACAGCATGCACGCAAAGATCATACGCGGCGGATATCCTACGCGGTGGATACCCTACGCCGCGCTATTTACACGATCTTTTGTTAATTTTTCGCCAGTGACGTCATGGTGAAATCGTATATAATCGCATATAACTTCATAAAAAATAGCCAAAAAACGTTTTTAAAGTTGATTCGATTATTAATGGCAAATCAAAAATCCACTCTAGAACAAAAAATCATTTTGTTAGTTCTCTTTTAATGTACATACGTAACCTTTCCCCCTTATACTTGAATAAACTCAATCATTCAAAAAAGGGCTAACATGCCGATTAGGGCCTATATCTGGCGCTCCACTGTAGTCTTAATTATTCCTCTTTTTCAATTTTAAATCTCCTCAAACTTCAGTGACATTAAACTCCCTCACACAAGGTATGTTCATGTAGGCCTATGCATCCTATTTTAACTGTAATCTTCAAATTCGATTTCTCTCAATTATTGCGTTTTAGCCACGTTTTATTTTTGGCCAATTAGCGCACCAGCCGCCATGAAAAATTGAAATTTAGAAAAAAAAAAGTTTTTCTTATTTTTATTACGCCCTCCGCTGCCTTGAAATCTCCAAAAATAAGATATGTATATTTTTTTCTAATTATATACATTTGAAACATTTAACCATCCCATTTTACATTCACCAATTAAATTTTATTTTTATTATTTTTTTTTTGTCTTTTTGTTTCAGGCTGACCTGTCACAAGATATTTTTATTCCTGGGTCTATGCCTACCTTTCCCATGCAGTATTATTACTGAATTATTTTATTTCAATTTATTTGAAAAAGAAAATAAATGCCACTTTTAAATATCTCGAATTTAATACGTTTTGGTATTGTTTGGCTTTCACAAAATGTTTACAAAACATATATTATAATCATTATTAAACGATTTTGTCAAAATTGTATAACACAAAAATTTATTACGAAACTAAATAACTTATAGGCCTATAATTTATAATTTAATATGAATCATCGATCTAGAAACATAATAAGCGAATATGACTAAAAAAACAGACAGAAAAACCTATAACATTGTTTAATTTAACTAAAGTAGAGAACAATTTCAATATAATTTATAATGTAATAATTTTGAAGAGTGAAATATTGGCTGACTGTGAACACGAAATGGAGTTGAAAGTGTGAAAGAATTGATCAGGATACATTTTGAAGATATCGTAATAATGCCACTACCACAATGGCGACACCAGCGTCTGAAATCTGGTTGGGAAGGGGCAGGGAGCGTAAAATTTTAGGTGAGGGGGAAATATGCTGGGGTCGAAGTGGGCGTGGTCTAACGTCTCAAAATGTCTTGAAAGTGGTCCAGTCCATACATAGATCTACGTCATTTTTTTTTCTCCCCATGAATTGCGGTTTTTCTTATCCCTCCACCACCCCACTTCCCTCAGCATCGTCATTCATGAAAGAAAATAAATTCTTTTACTTTTTTAAAAAAACTGGCGCTGAATAGGCCTTTTTCACGAATCGGTAGACATGAAGTATGACAAACATTGCGAATCAGCGGTGCGTAACCAACAGAAATAAGATAAGCTTTTGGGCTGATTTTTTGACATCATGTTATTTAAAAAATCATAACTCCATAACGATTTTTAAATAACATGGTGTCAGAAAATCAGCCCAAAGGCTTATCTTATTTATGTTAGTTACGCACCACTGATTCACAATTTGTCATCACTTCAAGATGTCTACCGATTCGTAGGAATTGATGAACATCCCCCCTTGGGAAGATATTAACCTGTGACCTTCACGTTCACGTCCCAAAAACCAACCAAAACATGGCGGCCTCTTTTTCATCTCGGGTCTTTGGAATTCTTAATTCTACAAGGCGGTAAATACGGGTTAGGCCTATATTATGAAGGAAAAGGGCATACTTGAAAGGATTATTAAATGTGTTTATTTTGTTTCCACATTCTATTTCTAGCAGTTACTAAGCCTAGGCCTAGGTTTAGGACCACGGTGTTTACCGGCGCAATCCATCCATCCAACTTTGCAACAACAAGCGCTAGCCTAGCCTACCTAGTCCTAGGGCCTAGGCCTACTAACCTAGTCCCTCCCTAGCCTTTCTTTCTCTATGTATGGCTAGTAGCACCTTTCGCTGGTTTATTATGTTTCCACATTCTATTTCTAGCAGTTACTAAGCCTAGAGGTTTAGGACCACGGACCCACCACGGTGTGTACCGGCGCAATCCATCCATCCAACAAGCGCTAGCCTGAATTCAATCCAACTCGGCCACAAGTCAACTCAACACATTAATAAATAACTCTTTTTAATTCATAGGCAATAGCATTCAAATCTCTTTTGGTAGTGTGGTGGTCCTGTTCTAAAATATACTCTGTACTTTATTTCAATCATATATTGAAGAAGGATGCAAAAACTGAGATTACATTAAATAACTTGTGTCCAAGTTGACTTGTGGCCGAGTTGACCTGCACCCGCTAGCCTAGCCTAGTCCTAGGGCATAGGCCTACTAACCTAGGCCTAGGCCCTCCCTAGCCTTTCTTTCTCTATGTATGGCTAGAGCACCTTTCGCTGGTCTGGAAAGGCATCAACCCGAAAGGTCGTGATTTCAGATTAGGTGTAGGCTATTGTATTCGTCTAATTGAGTAATAATCCTTGTTATCCCCTAGGCCTAGGGCCTATAATAGGCTAGGCCTACCTCTACCTGTATACCTCTATGTAGCCTAGGCCTATATATTGCCAGTTCTGAATTTGAATTTTTACAGGTTGGTAGAATGAAATAATGTTGTAAGAAATTTATTACAAAAATTGCATGGCTGGTAAATTAAGGGTAGATACTGTATATATATATATTGTAATGTAGTATTAAGGTTCAAAGGTATTAACTTGCATAACCATTGGAATCGATACCCTTCACCCGATATATGCCTTAAATTGGTTTGACAGTTTTAATGGACAACTTGAGTATACAGATAATCTAATAATATAACTGGACATTGTATAACTTTACCCTAGTCAGTTGGACTTGGCCTTTCTCACACTGTGAATCTATGATTGTCAGTTTTGAGTCTAAGCTCTGAAGTTTGTGATACAATCAGCAATGGTCAGTAATCAGTAGTGAGTAGTATTCAGTAATCAGTAGTGAGTAGTATTCAGTAATCAGTAGTGAGTAGTATTCAGTAGTCAGTAGTGAGTAGTTAGATTCAACACAGAAGAAAAGTACTATTATTATTATTAGTATTATTTTTACTAACCGATATTTAACAATATATAGGCCTGCCTAGAATATATGCAATTTTAAATCATATTTTTTCAATTTATTCAATATTTGATAGCTAATTTTTTTTTATTTTTTAAATTGATTTAGATGGAAATGTGTTTTAATTATCTATTTGTTTTTATGATCAATTATATGTATAAATTACAAAAAGAGGAAAGTGTATATTATTGTATTACTATTATTATTACAGTATGTTTATATCACTTGCATATTTATGCATCAAATATAATTAACCCATTTTTTTCTTGATTAATATATTTCAAGATTGCAACAAAATATTGCTGCAAGGCAGCTGTTTCATAGAACAACATTTAAGATGTATGCAAGCGATGAGGAGTTCAATGTAGCTAAAGAACGTGTCAACCTCCTGAAGGAAGACCCAGGCAATGAAGCCAAGTTAGAAATGTATGCACTATTCAAACAGGTATGTACTTCAATGGTACTTGAATGCTTTGCAAACACTTTAAGCCAAAGTAAAAAAAAAAGTAGCTTCTCGTCTTAATATTTTGAAAAAAGGAAAATTGATGCATTTTTAAAGATCTTTTTTCTTATCTAATGAGATTAAATAATTTTATAGTAGCTTTGTACCTTGTATAATTCATTAGATGTGCCAGTCAATATCATTAAGATCCAAATATTATAATAAACTGCATAGGATAGGATAGGAGTATGTTGGTGGTAATCACACCAAGGATAACCCAGGTCCGAAGACTTGTAATCATTGAGGTCCTTCTGGTGGTGAATTGGGCGGAACACTGGGAGACAATCCCCTGCTCTTTTCGAAGAGTTTACTGTGTTCTTTAACATGCACATTGGCCATATTGCACACATGACCAACAGATTAAAGGTCTCTCCGAAAAAACGGTGCGTTATCGTAATTTGTATTTCAGCCCTCTACGTGAAACACAAAGAGAGCAGCGATGGGAATTGAACCAGAGACCTGGAGATCTCCAGGGTTCAGCACACACACAGTGGCTACCACAATTTTAGCTGAGCTAAGCTGTGTATCATTATTGCAATTAGGAATTAGGAAGACACAATGTATAAACCACAAAACTAATCAATTCATTTGCTAAAGATCACCATTTTCGAGAAATATTGATACTATTAGAGTGTAATTATGTACTGTTGTTTGTTTCCCTTCAGGCCACTGTTGGAGCTTGCAACACATCCAAACCAGGTGCTTTTGACTTCGTGGGTAAAGCCAAATGGCAGGCATGGACCAATTTAGGCTCTCTTAGTCAGGTACTGTATGTATCCAACTAATCTAAATCTATCTAAATGTGGGTTATCTAAATGTGGGTTGCAGTACTTTAAACGCCCCCACCCAAGCCAGATGCTGCCTAGTTTATCAACAGTTGGGTATCGCGTATTTGTAATTACTAATGTTTATATAGTGTACCACCATACAGCTGACAATAAAATATATCTTGTATACAGTTCTACATATTCATCATTGAACAATACTCTTAATAATAATAACATGTTAGACTTGTATAGCACGTTAATACCAACAAGGCCTGTAAGCACTTCACGTTATTGCCCCAGCTCATTGGATCAAGCATATATGGAACACATACTCAAAGTTAATAAGATATTACTTTCCCCTATAAAATAACCGTAATTACGCATTATCCTTATTATCAAGGCAGGTAGAGATTTTTCAGTGATTTAGAAGATTTCATAGGCTTGTTATCAGGGTTCCGGTCTGCGTTGACCACTTGTCCCCATGGGCAATTTGAATTGTGTTGTCCCTTCCCAATATAAACGATTAAATTACAATGTGCTGGATACTAGCTGCAACATTATAGAATACTCCCCCTAGGAAGCTGAGTATGCGTTTCAATGATGTTTGGTCACCTTTACATGTGACAGGCCTAAATATACTCATGATGACATCACATCATGACCATATATATGCACATCATATGATTCTGCGCTTTTGTGACTGTCATTTTATTCTCTTGATTTCTTTATGCCTACTTGTTTGTGTCTTATGGATAATGGCAACGATTCCTACCTTCGCAAAAGGAGGTTATGTATTCACAGATATGTAAGTATGTAAGTTTCGCAGAAGTTTTCTAGATGCAGCCATACGCGGCGCCCCATTGTTTGTATTTCCACCATGCATTTTGGCGAAACAGTTTTTTTTCAGTGGAGAACTCTATCTTGTGTTTCTAGTATCTTTGATTATATAATTTTTGTTTATATACTATTGCCTTTCTGTTATGTAGGAGGAAGCAAAACAAAAATATGTTGATATAGTCCAGCAGCTACTTGATGAACAGGGAGTAAGTGTAGATGGCTCAACAGCTACAGCAGATGTTTCTTCTGCGGAGGAGTTCAAAACTTTGAAAATAACAGCTGAAAATGGGATTTACAAAATCGTGCTGAATAGACCGGACAAAAAGAATGCTCTTACTTTTGAAGTAAGCAAGTACCACATTTCATAAAAGTTAATAAAAAAAAAAGCGCTGCTTAAACGGCACACTCGTCAGTGGTTCTGGAGGTGGAAGAAGTCTTCTCGGATAAGGATTTCAAAGTAAACAATTGGCTCATGTGCACTATAAAGAACCCAGTTCGTCTTTTGAGATGAGTAGGGGGTTACCAACAGTGTACTGGTCCAAACAGCCCCTGTTGTGGACAGACGAGAGTAGCTGATACCGGTTTATTGGGCACTGTAGCTCAGACACAAAGAAATCCTATGGGGAGTAGAAAGTTAGAGAATGAACTATATATAGTGTTAGGGTTAGGGTTAGGGTTAGGGCGCTTTGATCTTTATGAAATATAAATGCTGTAATGTACATGTACATTTGGAAATTGGATTTATTTTAGAAGAGATTGAAAAATGTATTCGTTAGTGATTTCCTGATATTTCAATTGTCTGTTTTCAGAGTTATAATGAACTTGTGAAAGCACTGGATATTGCTGGTAAAGATCCAAGTATTGTTTTTGCTACTTTAACAGGTAAGATAATTCACATTGCTAATAATAATGGATACCATACACCTTGCTCTTTGCTATCATAACAGGTGGGATACCCTAATGACTTTGCTATCATAGCGACTAAGATATTCCAATTCACCTTCCTATCATAATGGTGAGATACACTATTCACATTTTTATCGTAACTGATGAGGTATTCCTGATACAGCACCTCTTCATAACTGATGAGGTACTGTATCAGAGGTCCAAAGTTGGAAGAAGCCACTTCCAGGAGACCTGTTTAAATGATATTTCTTAACACATCAGATTTTATTTTCAAAGTTCAAAAATTCAAAGTAAGTTTGTTGTCAATAGTACAACAGTTAAAATTGAAATTTGATTTCATCGGATACAAAGATAGAAGCACACAAAAAAGAAAAACACACAATCAAGAAAAACATTTAAAAATACATAAAAAATGTGTTGCTGTGCAAGGTGATATGGTGTGTATGGTGATATCCATCAGATATGGTGTGCATGATGATATCCATCAGATATGGTGTGCATGGTGATATCCATCAGATATGGTGCAATAACATTGTTCTTTAATTTTATAACAGTCTGTTGAATGACGCTATTCTATTTTAATAATAATAGTGTATATTTGTACAGCGCTGGTATCCATCAAACAAGATGCTCATGGAGCTTGATGTGTCGGCTAGTAGCTCATCATTCAGTGACTTTCTTCACCCCTAAGGGTCCCTTCATGTCTGTGCTACCGGGTAGACCGGTACCAGCATTTCTCGTCATCCACCACAGGGGCTGTTTACCAGTACAACAGGCTATCCCCATACTAGTCTGAAATTGTGTACTGGGTTCTTCATAGCCCAAAATACTGACCATGTTTCAAAGGGCCAACCATGACCCTGATTTTCAATTGGCATGATAGCTGGGCTTATGAAATAGTGGCCTTGTTATGGCCTAATCATGTAAGAGCAGTTGTGTTTCTGGCTGAAAATCAAAAGGTCAGAGATCATATTCCTTGCTATTCCTGTTTATTCATCCAAGACACTTCACCAATTTTTTTGGTAAATCCACCCGGGTGTATATATTTTTGTTTAATGTCTTCATTCTATGCAGAATATTCATGCAAATAGGAATGTTCTTTTAAGGAATAAATCCGGCTTCCATTACTGTATATAAAATCATGTCCGTTTCCAATTAATTAAATGCAATCCTGATTTTTCAGTTTTTTTTTTTTTGTAGGCAACATTTGTGACACCATTCTCAGCTCTTGGACAAAGCCCTGAGGGATGCTCTTCATATGTCTTTCCAAAAATAATGGGATCTGCCAAGGTATGAGTAGTAATAGCTGTCTCTTATACACATCTGAAGCACACAAAAAAGAAAAACACACAATCAAGAAAAACATTAAAAATACATAAAAAAATGTGTTGCTGTGCAAGGTGATATGGTGTGCATGGTGATATCCATCAGATATGGTTTGCATGGTGATATCTATCAAATATGGTGTGCATGGTGATATCCATCAGATATGGTGTGCATGGTGATATCCATCAGATATAGTGTGCATGGTGATATCCATCAGATATGGTGTGCATGGTGATATCCATCAGATATGGTGTGCATGGTGATATCCATCAGATATGGTGTGCATGGTGATATCCATCAGATATGGTGTGCATGGTGATATCCATCATATATGGTGTGCATGGGATATCCATCAGCTTTGACTTCTGGGAGACAATTGATAATGAAGTAGTAAAGACATACAAACATCGTGAATTTGCGGGAGATGGTTTATTTTCCCGGCAATTCCTTGTGGGAGTGCGGGAGGCCTTCCCGATTTCCTGGAGACTCCCAGGATTTGCAGGAGACTTTGGACCCTTGCCCTATACAGTACCCCAATCCTAAACTATCCAATGCCTGGAACATTCCATTCTTGTAATTATTTGTTTGACTCCAATTATACATTTTATGCCTATGGTTAATTTATCTAATTACAGGAGCTGGTGATTATTATTGCAGTGGCAATGATCTCAATAATTTCATGTCCGCCACTCCTGAAACGATGAAAGATATGGCGAAGGAGGGAGGCGAATTACTCAAGTATGTTGGTATTTCTGTGTATTGCTCATATTCAACTTTTTCCTGGCTTAATAAAGCAAAACTCTTAATATTCTGTGTGTACATTCACATTTTTTAAAGCATCTTCAAACTCTTCAATATTGTATGCTTCCATGTGACTTGAGAACACTCTGCCTTATACATTATACCTCTCACACCCTGCGCCAAAAAAAAAATTATATTTCATCAAGTTTATTGAAAAGGAGTTACACCAGTTAGGCTTACATTTTGCTAAGATGCAGCAAAAATTGTGACTTAGATTATAAGTTATTTTCTTTTTTATAATTACAGTCGTTTTGTTTCTGCATTCATTGATTTTCCTAAACCCTTAATTGGATTGGTGAATGGTCCAGCTGTTGGTGTATCTGTCACCACCTTAGGTCTGTTTGATGTTGTATACTGCACTGATAAGGTAAATATATAGTAATAGTTTTGTAATTAAAGCAATAACATTGTTCTTTAATTTTATAACAGTCTGTTGAATGACGCTATTCTATTTTAATAATAATAGTGTATATTTGTACAGCGCTGGTATCCATCAAACAAGATGCTCATGGAGCTTGATGTGTCGGCTAGTAGCTCATCATTCAGTGACTTTCTTCACCCCTAAGGGTCCCTTCGTGTCTGTGCTACCGGGTAGACCGGTACGAGCATTTCTCGTCATCCACCACAGGGGCTGTCTACCAGTACAACAGGCTATCCCCATACTAGTCTGAAATTGTGTACTGGGTTCTTCATAGCCCAAAATACTGACCATGTTTCAAAGGGCCAACCATGACCCTGATTTTCAATTGGCATGATAGCTGGGCTTATGAAATAGTGGCCTTGTTATGGCCTAATCATGTAAGACCAGTTGTGTTTCTGGCTGAAAATCAAAAGGTCAGAGATCATATTCCTTGCTATTCCTGTTTATTCATCCAAGACACTTCACCAATTTTTTTGGTAAATCCACCCGGGTGTATATATTTTTGTTTAATGTCTTCATTCTATGCAGAATATTCATGCAAATAGGAATGTTCTTTTAAGGAATAAATCCGGCTTCCATTACTGTATATAAAATCATGTCCGTTTCCAATTAATTAAATGCAATCCTGATTTTTCAGTTTTTTTTTTTTTGTAGGCAACATTTGTGACACCATTCTCAGCTCTTGGACAAAGCCCTGAGGGATGCTCTTCATATGTCTTTCCAAAAATAATGGGATCTGCCAAGGTATGAGTAGTAATAGTATTTTTTTATATTCTTTCTACCTAAAGAAGGAACCCATACAATAACAATATTCTAATAATAATATAAAAATTGTTTTATTGTGCACATCACCACCCAAAAATTGGGTGCTCAAGATGCAGTGTCTTAATTAGCAATATAATTGCTCATTATATATTGTATATGTTTAGCTCTTTGCCCAAATATTCAAATATTTTATTAATGTACAGTAGTTAGTTTTATGTAAAATCACACAAGACATTTACATACACTTACATCATGACAGGTGGTAAAGTTGTTCATTCCCCAGATGTTCCAATACCTGGAACTCAAAATTTTGTACGTGTACTGTGAAGATTTTTTTTATATGTATGCATTCAGATTTTTCAAGGTGTCCGCAACACTCGGAAGTCTTTGTACGTCGACATTGTTTATAAAGTTGACTCGCAAAGAAAAATAATTGACACAAATATTCAATTGAAAAGCTACTAAATTAGCTGTTTTCAAATAATTCGGGAGAATTTGACAAAATTCCGGGAGATTGCGTGTAAATTTGGGAGATTTCCAATCGAAGTTGGAACGTATGAATCCAAGAAGACAATTCCCTGCTCTTTTCCGTTGTGTCATTGTGTAAAGGAACCAATCCTGTAGTTAAGTTTGTGTGCACTCTGAAAGCATCCCTTTTTGCTGCACCACCACACGCACTCACAACTCAACTTTCTCCATTACTTGTGAGAGCATTACCAATCTTGATACATCTAGAAATGATGTCAATATTTTTATAAACTGTTTAAATATTCATTCTTCCACTAGGCCAATGAGGTGTTATTGTTTGGTCGTAAGCTAACAGCTAAAGAGGCATTTGACAGGGGTCTGGTTACTGATGTTTTTCCGGATGATAAATTTCAAGAGGAAACACAAAAAAGGGTGGATGGATATGCTAAGCTGCCGAAAAATGTAAGTCACTTTTGGTAACTTCTATGGCAAGTGCTATGCCTTTTTTACTCTATACACACAAACATTGGTGGTGCTAAAGAGGGGTTGGGGGAAGAGGGTGATTGATGGCACGGGGGTGATTGATGGCACCTGGAGAAAACTTTCGGGTGCCATTACCAAGATATCTAAAGGTGTATATTCTTGAAAGTTGCTAACCTTAGCATAGTGGGGCTGAGTGAGTATATACAGCCTATCAGGGTTTTGGGACATATGCAGTGGCGGTGCCAATGGGGACAGGTCAACGCCTCCCCACCCTACCGGCACCAAAAAAAAAATGAAATAAGCCTAATGCTTATTGAGTTGAGTTTGAAAGTATAGCAACAATTGTATTTTATCAACCTTAAAAAGTATTGTGAAAGTGCCATTTCTGGCTATCCAGAGGTCCCTATTTTAAAAGAAATCTCATGGGGGGTGGGATCCCCTCCCAAAACCCTTCCCCACCTCTGGCCTACGGCCCATGGTTAGCGCTGCTCGCCAAAGTTATTCTTATCTCGCAGTCAGCACCCCTCTTTCCACCTTCCATTGTACAGCATAGCCCGCCCAGAAAATATATATCCTACAGCCGCTACTGTCAGGTCAGGTAATCTCTGGCACTGCTACCAATAACCTTTAGTAGAAGACCTGAAGTTCCTTTTCCTTTAATAAGTAGTAGAGAGTAGATCAAAGAAAGATCCAAGCTTTTGCAATGATTAACATTCAAAAGTAAAGAAGCACAGTACAAAATTGTAATTTAAAATATATTAGCATGTATGTTTTAAACATTCTTCTCCTTTTTTTTTTAAATTTTCAGTCAATGAGGCTGTCAAAGAACTTGATCAGAAGCACTGAGAAAGATCTACTTCATAAAGTTAATGATGAAGAATGCACACTGCTGGAAGAGAGATGGACATCTGATGAGTGCATCCAAGCAATAATGAACTTCTTCACACAGAAATCCAAACTTTAACCAAATGCAATATTTCAACTTGACAACTATATTAGCAATGCAATATATAGAGGTTGGAGAGGTCAGGATAAATATTATAATTCCTCTGTAAGTTATTTAAGTACATTGGTAACAAGCTAATGTGGGCTTGCAGAAAAACGAAGATTAGTCAGCATATGCAAGGTAAATTTTGAAAGACATCCAAGGAATTCATTCTGATTAAGAGTTTCTCTTTCTATTTGAGTTGCGTATGTGTACCGTCAAACTTTCAATTATTGTTACATAGGACGTGAAATATTTCCAGAATTTATGTTGGATATGTGATGAATTAATAAAGATAAATACAATATATTATACAAGATTTTATTGTTGAAAAGTTATTTCAAAGACCTTTGTTTTTATTATGTGTGTAGTGCAGTTCAAACCCTTTGCTATCTCCACAGCAAAATGAAATTAGATGCGTTTAGAAAGCAAGCTCATTTAACCAGATCTCAGGGAATTAATTTCCAACTTGGGACCCCAACTTTAGCTATGGTTGCATCTCTTCACCAAGAAGTAGTAGTAGCCACTATCTGTACACTGATTGAACCATGGAAATCCTTGGTTGAGGTTCGATGCGTTTCAAATACTGTTAATTTTTTCAGAAGAGATAAGGTCGAATGTGCATCAAGGCCATGCATGTTGAATTCATTTTCGCAAACAGGAAGGGATGGTCTTTTGCTTGCTTTCAAGCTGCTGTCATACTCGCCCAAACACCCATGCTTACAGGCTTAACAATTCTACGCAAGATATCTTGGTTGCCTAAACTGGTGATACCATCTTTGTGGGTCCCTGGTTCTATTCCATTGCAAGAATATATATACACAGTATATGGCATTTTCTTTTGGCTTTTCCAACTCTTTCTTGACTGACACACCATTTCCTCTCACATTGCTAAACAACTACCTGTATACTAGATACTCCATTATTCACTGCCACACGATCTCACCCAAGATGTCTCACCTCTGGCAACAAAATAAACAACATGACTGAAGTCTTGTTTGCAAGTTTAATAATGCATACTTGTTACAAATACAGCTGCACTTGAATCCTTTAATCAACCCTGTCAGCTAATAACCCAGATTTGCTACTTATCATAATATAACCTGGCAACCCACCTACTTAAAATTCTACCCAATTATTTATTTAAATCCACTTGTGTACAAGGAATACATATATTGTTCCTTAAAAAAATTGGAATTAAATATTATATCGATCACACTTGCATGTCCTGATTATTTTTTGTGCTTTTTATCTTTCAAAAATTATACATAATCTTCAGTACGTGTGTTGATTGTAGCGTGTTTATGCTTAATAACGGTACATGTCGGATTTGAATGGTCCATTGATTGGTATGCTGAGGTAATCGCTTTGCGACTGGCTCAAGGTGGTTAGCTTTACGTCCAAGTGGTCCAGGTGAAGACGGGCAACTTCTTCATCCAACTGAAATAAACAAATTTTATAATTAATACAGTAGCAATGAACTTTTCCAGTGTTCATCATTCTTAACAAGTGACCAATCAGAACGTAATACTCAATAGGTGGGGACCAGGAACATGTACACGCAACATAGCCCACACTCACCCATGTTTCTCTACAAATAGCAACAATATCAAATGAGTGGATCTTTTTAACAATGCATCTAGGCAAGTTGGATGGCTGAGTGGTTAGTCACAGTCATATGGTGGTGAATTTGTCTGAAACAGTCACAATATCGGTGCTGGTTTGAACGGCAAGCTTGCCTAATGGTTCTGGTGGTGGAACAAGTTTTCTCGGATAAGGACTATAAACCGTAGGCCCAGTGTAAAGCTACATTTACACTAGACACGATAATGACACGACATGATAAAAATGTGTGCAGTGTTGAATAAACAAACTACACGATGATATGTCGTCGTCGTGTCCTTATTGTTTTTAGTATAAATCTAGCTTTAAAGGACCTTGTACATCTTTAGAGACGAGTTGGGAGTTACCCAGGTGTACTGGTCCATACAGTCCCTCTTTGTGGACAGATGAGAGTAGCTGGTACCAGTTTACCGGGTAGCTCAGACATGAAGAGACCCTTAGTGAAAAAAAAAGTTACTGTACGAGCTAGTCCACACCTCGAGCGCTTTGAGACCCCAGTATAAAGCGCTATATAATATATATATATATATATATATATTGAGACTTCTGCCCTCTCTAAATGACTTGTTTGCAACAGCAGTCAAAAATCATAAAAATGTAACTCATTCGTTTCCTTATATTTTCTGATAAATACAGCTGAAGCCTAGAAATATGAACACAAAACTGATGAGTGTACTGGATAACTGAGTCGTACATCGAACTGGACATTTTAATTAATGATAAACTTAACATAATGGTGCGACTTAGTGCACTTACATGTTTGGGTAGAACATGTACACCGATTTTGTAATTCTCAGAGCGTGTCCACAGTTCTACCTGAGCCAGCACTTGGTTAGTGAATGAATTGGACATGACGAAGCTGGGATGTCCAGTTGCACAGCCAAGGTTGACTAGACGTCCAGATGCCAGGACGAGGATGTGACGGCCACTGGCCATTTCGTATCGGTCCACCTACATCGAGAAAGAACTTAATGTTAATTTACGCAACTACATTTATGTATGGTTTGTGCTGAGTATGTGTATCATAGCAATTGTTACAATGATTGGGTTCGCACAAATGTAGAGTGCCCCGAGACATTATTGCTTTATAAAAACAGATATATTATCATAAACATTTTAATACATATTTTCAATACTATATTCTATTTTCTAGGCAGTAAAAAAAATTTGCTACAGAAGAGTGGTAAGGTAAAGAAGTGCAAAGCTGAAAACAAACTCCAATGAATTTGCCTTATAGATTTTTAAAGCATTTGCCCATATAATTGTTTCATTATTTTTCTGATAGGTCCATGTTATGAAAAGCGATAAAAGATGTACTATGTATTATGTTTTGTAAATATAATTACTGCATCTGAGATCGTGAGATGGGGAGTTCGAGACTGAGGCTTGTCGCATTGCTAGTGTCCTAGGGCATTTTACTTATGTTTTCCTCTCTCCACCCAGGCGTATAAATGGGTACATGCCTGGTAGCATGATATGGCATTGAAAGTATTAGTCTGTGTCGTCATTAAATTGCACGCACGACTAGGAATACTCTACAGGGAATAGAGGAGGTTACATTTGTATTGGTTGGATTATGGATCCATATGACCAGGGGTAGTAACAACATTGCCAGCACCTTGTTTCTCTAAATCTCTAAATTATTATTATTATTATTAAAATGTCTCTTGGCTGCATTAGTGGCTACAGAACCTTGCTGACAGGGGGTTCTGAACCAAGGGGCCCAAAACCTTGTGCTTTTAGACCACAATATTAGGGATTTGCAATAAAAGTAAGGTGGCACCACACACTGCTTGGGTGTAGCCTTTTGAGAACCAACTTTACCTGTGGCTTAATGTTGACCTTGTTGACCGCGTTCTTATCTAGCCAGGCCAAATCAACCTCAATGTCGAAGTGGCCAATGTTGCAGACAATGGCGTCATCCTTCATCTGTTTAAAATGTTCGCCCTTGATGATGTCCTTGCAGCCGGTGGCGGTGACGAAGACCATCGCCTTTGAAGCGGCCTCTTCCATTGTTGTTACCTCATAACCTGTGCAGGCATACAAGGTGAAGTCAGTCAGTTTTATATTAAGTACCATCAGGCCTAGGATTTATCAATCTCATCATATACCATATCTATTCGAATAAACGCCCCTTAATTTCACTGTAAATGTACTACAACAACATATAATTACCTTCAAAATGTTATTATTCCGTGATTATGAAGAATGTGTGAGAAAGAGCAACATATTTCATATTACAAGAGGTAATGCAATATAGTGAAAATAATACAAATCCAGCCCTGTTTGCTTTGTCAACTGTTTAGGCCTATTTTCTTTTCTGTACATTGGCTTAATTATGTTGATTCAATGGTTACAATCATTTTGTAACCTTTCCAGTACCGTATATTGCACCCAGTGTGCTTCTTAATGTTACCCAGTATGTCATCGTTATTACAATGAGAAACCTTTTAATCTTAAGCAATGTACTTTTCACATTATCAATAAGACAAATTTAAGCATATTTTTGCTAGGTAGAAATTGCAAATAAACAGAAACACCCACTATTAAGACCAAGTTTGATTATGCAAAACGAAACATACCCTCCATGGCAGCCTGCAAGGCTAGGATAGGATCGATTTCTGTAATGAGGACTCTGGCACCAAATCCTCTGAGAGACTGTGCACTACCCTTGCCTACATCTCCGTAGCCAGCAACGCAGCACACTTTGCCTGCCAACATGATGTCAGTTGCACGTTTGATACCATCACAGAGGGACTCGCGGCAACCATACAAGTTGTCGAACTTGCTCTAGTGAAACAAACAGAATTAGTGGAGATATGAAAGAAATGTCATGCTTTGGTGCTTCTTTTATTTGCTTTATTCTAAAGCTAGGTGAATTATTTATCTCATTCTCATCCAACAGCGAACAACTTACAGAATAAATGCTATGTGCTAGAAAGTTTCATTAGGGAGCTTCCGATTACATGACGCGGTAGGACATAGAATGCAATGACGGTCACTAAGAAGTCATCTGCTCATGCAAGAATATCAAGTTCTCGTTGAGTGTATTCTAGGATGCTATTAAGCCAAATCAATGTTGCGCAGAATATAGGACGGTTACGCATGAGTAAATCAATTCTAGTGTCGCATCGTCGCGCATTTGAAAGCTCCCTGCTATAAAACTCAGTGGGCAGTTATTTTGGTTGAAAAAGAAATTCTCGTTTTGACTATTGTACTAATGTTTGTGTAGGAAGGCAAGCACTAACCTACATCTTCCCTCACAAATAGATGTTAATTCTACAAACATTATACAGTACATATTTTTAATAGGCAAACTACTTGTATATAGATTTTTTTAAATTTCAATATATACTTTGTTAGCGTTATAACATTGATTTTCAGTTCAATAAATAACATCTGTTTTGCCTCAATGATTTAGTATGTTTATAAGAATTGTGTTTCTTATAATATCATTGAAATGTAAAAAGCCCAGAGGCAGACGAAAGACCACATGGATGCAGACCATTAATAAAGACCTGAAGTGCTATAATATGTAGACAGAAAAATCAACAGAAGTGAGGGAGTTGGCCACTGATAGAAAGGGGTGGAAACATTTGATCATAGAGGGTGTAAACACTATGTTTACAAACGACGAATAAGCAAGCAAATGATGATAAAGAATTGTGTTATACAGTATGTGTTTTTATAATTCAGTTAATTTACACTGCAATTTTTAAATTTTAATTTGTTGAATGAATCATGAATTAAATATTTACCTTTGTGACTGAGTCATTGACATTCATGGCAGGGAGCTTGAGGGTTCCCTCTTTCATTCTCTTGTAGAGGTGGTGGACGCCAGTGGTGGTTTCTTCTGAAAGGCCTTTGATACCTTCAAAAACAAGAAAAATGTTAACATCTTCCTTAAAAAAAATCTTTTCCTTATCTAAACATACAATATCATAGTAGTTTGTTTTAATGTCATATTGTTGGATGAATAGGTATTAAATGGTCAAGACTGGAATGTCAGAAAAAGTACCTGCAATGTATTGTGGGTACTTGTCATGGACAATGTTTGTCAGATCACCGCCATCATCCAAGATCATGTTCAATGGCTTGCCATCAGAGAAGACCAGGGTCTGCTCAATACACCAGATGTATTCTTCATCTGTCTCTCCTTTCCAGGCGTAAACAGGGACACCGGTCTTTGCGATGGCAGCGGCGGCGTGATCCTGGGTGGAGAAGACATTACAACTGGACCATTGTACCTAATAAAAATAAATTTGCATAGTAAATTCATATGTTCCATGATAAATGCCTGGTTTAACATGATTAAAACTTGAAAATATTTCTGAAATATGCAAAGCTCCTTGAACCTGTGGTGGCACATTGATATATTCAATGTATTCATGGGAAAACCTGTTAAACAACGTGTTTTCAATTTCAATGGCAGCAGATCCCGGTTTGAGGTCTAAGGATCTTCACCACTGACAAACACAGAACATGGATATTTTTAATGCCAATGCTATTTTAAGAAGTTTCAAAATTATCTATTGTTGGCAGGCTACACGCTGCCTGGATGCGAAATGAAATCAAGTAAGTGACCACATAGCTTGAATGAACCCTCTTTTGATTTGACATTATATGAATTTATTATTAAAATTATTAAAGTAATATATATAACAATTGATCAATTTATTAAAAGTTTTTTTTTAAATCAAATATTGGCCAGATCAGGGGTACCAAGACTTTCGTGATTTGCAGAAGTCTTGCAGAAATTGAACTTTCCGCACTCCCACAAGAAACCAAAAATGTGGCCCATGAGAACAAGCTGAAAATAATATTTTCCGTTAGACTTGGGCCTAGATTTCTAACCTTAATCATTTTGCATTCTGTTTTGTCGACTAGCCCTATATATTGCCCCACAAATTGTAGCAATTTAATCAAATCGGAAGAACTATCTCAGCAAACAGCAAGGAAAAATTATAACAGTCGCTCGCTTGTGTTTTAGGTCTAGCCGGCCAAGCGCGATAGCATGGCGGTGCTCTGCTGCCTGTGGTTCCATATACAGCAAGGGTAACTTTCTTAAGTCAAAATGCCCTGTATGAGTGCCTAGCGGCTTAATACTTTTAAAAAATTCCCAATTTATAAAGGGGGACACCCTTCCAAAATCCTTCCCTGGATGGCTCTAAGTGCCAAAGTACACCTCCTGCCATGGCCCTTCAAATTTATTCAATGAACAATTTTGGCCCCTATTACGATATAGTTGAGAACCCCTGGTATAAATAGTTTTCTCTTTAACATCAGTTGGTGATGGGTATCAACACCATGTGTTATAATAGCTCTTTTAACCAGATCTTCTACCGGGAAGTGATTTCTTCCAAGATGGAACCTCTGCCAGATTGTTCCAGAAGGAAAGGGTTTCGAAGCATTTCTCTCTGGCACAAACTGCCACCTCTACATCAACTGTCACAGGTTTCAGGAGCGCAAGTAAACCGCTACAGTTTCCTCTATAATTTATATATTTTATTTCCCCTCTTAAACAAGTACTATGACCCTCATTTCAGAGTGTCAGAAGAAAAAGACCAAAATAATAAGTGACAATAATTACCTCAGCACCAAGCTCAGTCAGTGTCTCAATGAGCACAGCTGTCTGGATGGTCATGTGCAGACAACCAGCGACGCGGGCTCCCTTCAGGGGTTTGCTGTCACCGTGTCGTTTTCTCATCTCCATCAGACCAGGCATCTCCTTCTCAGCTAGGGTGATCTCTTTGCGACCCCATTCGGCCAGAGACATATCGGCTGACAATTACAAAAAAAAAAAAAAAATGACCTGTCGTCAGAATTTGAGTGCTAGTGAATATTTGAATAACAGATATTGTTGGTACTTAATTTTAATTGAAAAAATATACTATTTCAATAATTGTAGCAATTCTAATTGACTTTACACAATAAAAGCATCAGAGACATTTCAAGAGTAAGCAAAATGGGCTAGATAAACAAATTGAAGGATGAAATTATAGACAAATGAATGGGACAATATGAAATGATATGAGTTTAGTGAATGAAAAAAAAACTTTTATTAAAATTATAAATATACTATAA